ACAAGAAAATTCACAAGAAACAAGATAAAATTCTTATAACATTTTCTACAAATATTTACCATGAAAATAAAATTCTATGATCATTAAAATTGTAGCAAAATTTGCAAAAAATAAAAAATAAAATTTGTGGATTATTTTTCATAAAAAAAATTATAAGAAATTTTTGTAAATTATTTTTCACAAATAAATTTGTAAAAAAAATTATAAAATTATTATTGCAAGAAAATTAGTAAAAAAACCTGCGAATTGTTTTTTAGGAAAAAACACTTTCCTAATAGTGTCCATCCCCATTTTATTTATCCACATTATATTATTTACTATTCATGGTCAGAATTCAATTTTCAAGGAGCTGAATTCTAACTTTTGGGTAGTGGTTCTGATGGATTTTCTTGTTAAAGTTCAATTTTTGGAGAGTCAAATTTCAAACATGGTTTTTAATTTTTTTTAAATCCATTTTTTTATAACAATAATTTAAAATTTAGTTATAATAAAAAATTTATTATTATAATAAAATAAAATTTGTATATAAAATTAATAAAAATAATATATAATATTATATTTATATATTTATTTAAATATGTAAATTTGTTAATAAATTTTAATATTAATATGACAAAATTATTTCGAATAATAATTTTATTTAAATAAAAAAAGTTGTACTATCCGTACTGAAAATTCTATCTAAATAAAATAATTTAATTAATATTAAATATTAATGTTTATTAAAATTTATAGTTAATTATTTTTAAAATTAAAGTTTTTAATATTATTTTAATAAAAAATATTAATAAAATAACAGTACTAGGGCAACATTGATGAAGATAAAGTGCATTAAATAAAAAAAATTCATAACAATATTACATAAATAAGAAAACATTGATGAACACAAACATTTAGAGTGACATTATATAAGGTTTAATCTTCGTAATGGTGTCCAGTTGCACAATAAGGGCGACATCTGTTATGTCCTAAGTTTCATCATTGTGGTTATTTGATTATCATCAAGGATCAGATATTAGAATGCAACTAAGGAACTACCAAGTTCATTAGCAAAATTTGGTTGGTAAAGAGATTGCATGTAAGTTTGTGCTGAAGATGGAGTTGTAAAATCTACTCCAAATAAGTTTGTAAACAAATCTTCTAAATTTGTTGCAAAAGAATATATTCTGTCAATTATGTTTGCTTCTTGCATCATGTTCTACGGAGGAATTGAAACATGTTGGTTAATCTCCTCATACAACAGTATGGAAGTCGTACCGATTTCAAATGTGGTGGTAGTCTTTAGCTATTGGTGGGTCCTTGGATCTTATATTAGTCATGACATAGATAGGAAATAGAGGGAATTAGCAATGTACCATTCCATGTATTCTCGTGTGTGAAATAATAGGCCTTGCATTAAATGACCCATTAATGTGAGTTCACGTCTATTGTTTCATATATGTTGATCCATTAAGCATGTTTTGTAACCCAATTTTCCTCATGTCTTCCCCTCATGTCAATTTTGTGTAGGTCATTCAAATTATTGGGTGGATAAGGGACTTCTTGGAAGAGACCAAACTGTAATTTCACTCTATCTAATTGGTGTCAATCAACAATTGCAAAACAAAGGATGGTGGCACATGAAGTTCACAATTGGGCATCTCTATATGCTTGCATGGATATTGATCTTTGTAAGTCTTGATATGGTGCCCATAAAAACTACAAATAAATTTAAAATTTTGTTACTTAAGATAATATGTAAAACAAAAGAAAAGAAGAAAGAATTAAAATTTTTGTTATGAAGATTTACCTGATCAACCTGAATGTGATCAAACATTGATTTGTACCCTAGAATATCATTGTGAGGTATATTTTGAAAGTTGAATACTCTACCTCGCTCCATTTACACAACAAAGGATATGTTGGGGGTACATTGGAAATTGGCGTGATATATTGCATGTGATGTCATGCCCAAGATTGTAATAGTAATGCACAACCACCCATTGTTTTGCTCCTAACATCCCATGCTCGCATGTACTTGCTTCATGCTTACACGCACACCACAACTTTAATATCTACATATCTCCCGTCTATAGCTTACAACAAGTTTCTAAGGTATACAAAGAACAATTTGGAAAACTCAGTATTGGCCAACTTACACTAATCCAACTTTGTGCCCAAGTCTAGAATTGAAAAGAACTTGCAAGGGTCGACCCAAGTCAAGTACAATAAAAATAGAAATGGACATTACAGAACAACAAAGTTGTGTAAAAAAATTTTCCTATTGTCACACCCTGGTCACAAATTAAAGGAAAACATGTCCAAACATTGCTCATGCATCTACTTCCCGTCATTGATTTATGTTGCCTAGAACTTATTTTCTTCCATATATCATGTCCAAAAAAATGTTAGTAATCAACTTTTATTTAACCACATTCTTGCAACTTAACAATTACAATTTAATTATAGTTCTTATTTCAATCAGTGATACAATTACAATTTAATTATTAGTTATATTTTTTATCTAATCTATTTTTTTAATAAACTTAAAATAAATTCAATGTTATTATCAACAATAATGTTTAAAATTTGTTATTAAATATGTTTTAAATACTTTTATTTAATGTTTAAATAAATTATTTTTTTTGTTATTATCAATAACAATATTTCAAATCAACAACTATAACAATGTTATTTAATTTTATTTTTTATAATTTCATAATTAATTTTTATCAATAAAAATTAATATATAATATAACATAATATATTTTTATGAATTATGATTTATATTATATATATATATATATATAAATATGTACATAACATTATTTATTAATCTTATTATTAATAATAACAATTTTTTATTAAAATATTAAAAACTTTAATTTTAAAATAATAATTAACTATAAATTTTAATAAACATTAATATTTAATA